AAGAGCCGAAGGCCTAGGGTGAAGTTTTTGTTCTCTGTCAATACTAATCTAGAAGATGAGTTCTTGAACGAGACAAGGAGTGATATCACTACATTTCTCAAACACAGATTCGCAAGTATCCGAAAGCGGTGGGGCATGGCAGACGGAGTCTTGGCCGGATCAGGAGCAATTAGATTGTCTTATCAGTCTGTCAATAATACCTTTGCCTGTCTATATCTACTGTGATGAACCGCAACGTCTAGTCGTTTGAGAGAAAAGTATCCAATTGATCAGCTGGATGGCAGGCTCCAACAATATAACCGTAACGCTCCTCGGCTGGATTGGTTGTATATGCAGACTCTTTACCATTTGTTGTTTGGCGCCAAAGGTCACCAGGTCAGCGGTGGGTCGGTCTCGACGGGGACTCCGCGCAGGGGTCTCTTGACTTCTAGGTGGGAAGAAGCAAACTCTAAAAGAGACAGACACGAAAAGAGTTTCATATTGTTGAGCTGCCGCAAGGGGGCTACTACACATTCTATTGCCGTCGTACATCTCAACGCAGTACTGTACAGAAATAATAAGCCACTTCCAACTTCCTGAAATGCCCTCCTAGGAGATGCTGATTATTTGTGAAGTCAAAAGTCGTTCAACTTACCTATACTACGTCACAGGAACATAAGTGCAGCGGCGCTCTCCGTCTCGGTTAATCCGCGTTGGAGACAGAATCTTGACTTATGGAAGGTGAAAACCCTAATGTAGTATGAAACGCGTCAGTCATACACCTGCTAATAGAGCATAATAAAACTGATGGGTGTTTCAAAAGTAATACGACGCGTTAATTACCGCCTGCTATTAATAGTCTATATATAGACTAGAAGTTATGAACTGTCTAACTCTATTCCTTATAAGTTTCTCTTTCCCAAAGTTCTCTATACTTCTTTCTCCTCCAGCCGCCTATTCTTCAACTCCTCTTCTTTCATTCACGACCTCCAACGCACAGGCTACAGCCTCAATACATACGCAACTCCGAGAAATACATATAACTACTCAGCAGCCATGAAATTCAGCGTTATCTCGTTTACTATAGCCCTCACTGGCGCGCTGGTCGCTGCTAGCCCTCTCCAAAGCCGCGACGACGAGATTGATCAAGCTTGCATCGCTAAATGCAATGACTTTTGTAGCGAGGCACAAACAGTACGTCGTTTCATTGCTGCTAGTGTTTACACCTGTTGACAGAAGGGTATTTACCCAACGTGTGTAATAGACCGTGAAAGAAGCAAGTTGCATCAAGGATTCATTCCAGACTTGCTTGTGCAACTGAAAGATATTCGCCCAACACGTATAAAAGACCATGGGGTCAGCAGCATGCCCCCCATTGGTGGCTTTCAGGCCTGCGACGATGTTCCACCTCGCCGAGCCTCGGCAATAGCTACAGAAGGCGGCCCCAGTGTGTTAACTATGTAGCAATATGTATATATGGAGCAATATAGACTTCTTCTACTAAGCAGCTACTTTGGTTCTACCCTAGCCTCACCCTGGACAGAGTGCGACGACCTGAAGAAGCTCTAAAACGCAGATTCAACCGGATGTCCTTATCTATAACTAGGTACTTGCAGTAATCATATAGCTGTACTGTGTCGAGTCTTATCCGGAATAAGCCTTGCAGTGGCACAATCAGATAAGCAGCAGGAGACGTTGTCGCATCGAACCAAGCTCAATCATC